CAAGACATGAGAGTGCCCCACAAGAGTTTCCTACACGAGTGACCCACAAGAGCGTCCTACAAAAGTGCCCCAAAAGAGTGTCCGACAAGAGTGTCCCACAAGAGCGTCTTACAAGAGTGTCCCACAAGCGTGTCCTATAGGAGTGTCCCACAAAATTGTCCCAGAAGAGTGTCCTGTAAGAGTGACCCGCAACAGTGTCCACAAGAGTGTCCTACAAGAGTGTCTCACAAGAGTGTCCTACAAGAGTGTCCCACAAGAGTGTCCCGTAAGAGTGCCCCACAGGAGTGACCCGCAAGAGTGTCCTACAAGAGTGTCCACAAGAGTGTCCCACAAGCGTGTCCTACAAGACATGAGAGTGTCCCACAAGAGTTTCCTACACGTGACCCACAAGAGTGTCCTACAATAGTGCCCCAAAAGAGTGTCCGACTAGAGTGACCCACAAGCGTGTCCTACAAGACTGTCCCACAAGAGTGTCCCACAAGAGTGTCCCACAAGAGTATCCCGTAAGAGTGTCCCACAAGAATGTCCTACGTGAGTGTCCCACAAGAGTGTCCTACAAGAGTGTCCCACAAGAGTGTCCCACAAGAGTTTCCTACAAGAGTGTCATTTGGACATATGTAGCTTTTCCGTGTTTGCATTGGGGTTCGTGCGCTCCATCTTGTTTTGCAATTGCTGCGCTGTGGCATATACCATTCCTTGCCACCTCAAAATAGTATGTTCTATTATTTTGGGGTGGGTGGAGATATCCGCATCAATTTATATATTTCTGGACTCTCAGGATCTGACAAATAATTTCAAGAATGTCATAAACATTTCCAACTTGGATCCGACATGAGACCATCTGGGTGGGACCCACCCCCCCTAGAGTTGACCAAAGTTGACTCAGCTCGGATTACCACGGACAGTGTCATAATGGGCAGTTGAGTAGTCAACCGCCCTTGATGCTGCTGCTTGCTATGGTCCCACCATCCCGGCTCTGCGTGGCTAACACGAACCTCTAAGCCACTGATGGTTGTTTACGCCGGTTCTTCCTGGCTTTTTTGAATATGTTTTAACAAAATCTTCGAAAACCCAGCAGATTTGCACATGTTTTCCAATCTCTTTTCCTCTTCCACTGCTTCCTTGCTGTTTGTTCTGTCCTTTTCCACCTGTTTCTCCCGTTGGCGTCATTTAATGGGTAGTTGCGTAGTCACCCACCCCCTCAACTAATTTCATTATAGAGGTTGTATGAGGTTGTACCCTGTCTTTTTCCACCAAGTTTCCTTCATTGGGTGGTTGTGTAGTCACCCACCCTCTCAAATCCTTTTGTTATATTGGATTTGGTCGCCATGTTCCTGTACTTCCACCTTTCTCCCTGTTTCCACCTATCTGTACATGCTTTTTGTTCCAAATTATTGTCCTTTTGCTCAGTTTCCTCCCAGTGAAATGGCAGGTGTCCTCGCCTCACAAACATTCTCAGCCTGTGGACTTTGCTTCGATGCCTTCCAAAGCATTGGACCAAGTGCGCCTCCCCACTTTTACCCTCCTTCCACTTTCTTTCCTCTTCCCCCTTCCCCTGTTTTGGGCCCCTGGCCGGCTGTCGGGCGTAAGCCCTAATTTTCAGTAGACTTAACAGTTATAGCCGCCTTTGTGGGATCACAACGGAGCCCTGCGGCCGACCCGCTGGCACAATCCTGTAGCCGAGCTTCACACCACCACGAAATGGCAGGACACAAATATGGCGGGGCCATGAGGTGTTGATTCTCTGGGCGGAGCCAGGCCTCTCCCACAAGGTTGTCAAGGACTGGATGGAGAAACATCTGTTTGTCCTCCGAACACATTAATGGTGACTTTGGTTGCACTCCACCAGTTCCAGGACAGCTTCAGCTTAAACAATGGGACCTGGACTTATCGCGACCATCAACACCACGATTGAAATTAATGTTCCCAAACGATGCTCTAAATGACAATGCAACGCCTCATTCTGTTCGGCCGTGTAGCTTTCAGCTACCGCCATGGACTATCACAAGTTGCCATGGCTCTACAAAACAGGTCACACGCTAAAGCCGCTAAAGGCTGCTTGAGCACCTCGCAAATAACTTTAAATCATGAAGGGAAGCTGCAAGTCGCTAAAAGTTCCATGATCGAATGCACGTTCATCAGTCCACCGTCTTTCTTCTCGACTCCGAGCAAGCTGACGCGAACCCCCAGCCATCCACAACAATGAAGAAAACAAGTAGGCCATACAATGTCTTCTCAACAAACATTTACACGAGATGTGTTCTTTCAAACATGTTGTTGACCTGATGAACATGCTGAAATGGGTATGGCCTTGGAGGCTGACCCATTGCTGCTTCGCCTCTGCGCTGCAGCGACTCAACCCGAAAGGCATCGAAAGGCCTGTGAAACCGTTTTGGCTTTGTGATGCGCATTGCCAACATTGCTTCAACCCAGATCAGTGGTGGAGAACCACAAGTGCTCCAGGCTCCAAGGCCCACGCTCCTTCCATTGCTCTTCCAAATCCTTCAATGTCTGCTCCGAGAGGTTATGATCCGGCCAGGCGATCGGCTTCACGCTGGGATTCTTCGACTTTTCAGAAAGCTCTTCCAGGTCCACGTCAGCAGGCGGTGGCACTCGCGGACGGATTGCCCACTCCTCGAAACGGCCCCCCCGACCAGGCCCCGCCGCTCTGTATTCGGCACGAGCCAGTCGATCATAGGTGAGGGTCACTTTTCGGGACGTTGACTGCAGTGCATAGCGCCCCTCACGAATGTACCTGGTAGCCGTCCGAATTCCATTGTGCCCATGCAGTTCCGGGTCCCCCGCGTGAACTGGGTACTTGAGGTCCCAGGAAATTAGTTCGGTTCTTTCAAGCCAAGCACCGCCCCGGTGGAACAAGTAAAGCCTCCTCATTCTTTCAAGAAATTCATCATGTTCCGCCACTTCATCAGGAAAGTTTTGCCAGCACACGAAGCAGTCTTCTTCCGGGAAAGGGCAACTGCTGGGCAAGGGAACTCGGGAGAGCTTGGACTTCAGCAAATCGAAAAGAGGTAGACTCAATTCGAGAGGATTGAATGCTGGCCGCAGCTCAGCAATGGATGTAAAGAGGCTGTTTTGGTCTGTGTCCCAAACCGAAGTTTCGAAGGCTCCTTGGTAGCGCACTGGCTTGAGCAAAGATGAGACAGCTGGAGATTTGCCGCGGGATGGCGACGATTGCGATTCCGGTAGGTTTTTCGAAACAGATCGTCCAGTACTGTCCAACTGTTTGTCCGTTTCATTCTGATTGTTCTTTTTTTGATTTTCTTGACTGAATGTCTTGAACCAAATTGGTGGCTGCTGTCGTTTGAGCTTCTCCACGGGCTTCCCGCTCGTCGAATTGGCCTTGTTTCAACCTGCATGTGGCCAAATGTGCGAGCCATCCGCCAGGTAACAGCTTGTTGACCACGACAGCCAGGAGCTGAGCTCGCGTAATGCTTTGGTACAAGCCGGCCCGTGCTGCCAAAGTGGTCAAATCGGCGGGGCCTGTGTGCATCGGGCCAACAATGACTCTCATCACATCTGCTGTTGCATGATGTTGAGTTCAAACAAGTTAGCACCTTTACAGCCTTTACACAAATATATCATACAACTGCATTGCGGGAGATGAGTCCACTGGTGAAGAAGGCATCAGGGAGGATTCGTGATGGGAGTTCTCAACTCGGCTCCGACCTACAAACTTTACAGTTTCCCTGTCCCGAGCACCTTTTGATTTGATCTCTGCATCCATTCCAACTACTATGACGATGAGCTGCTCTAATCCCTTAGCATTGTCAATGGAATCCAAAATCATATGCTCCTCTTTGGAGTCCTGTTCTGCCACACTTGACGAGACCAGGTAGGAGAGCGAATCCTCGAAGCTGATGAGGCCGAGTCTTTTTGAGAGCTTTCGACACGTAATCTCTTCCTGGAGCTTCTTTTTCAAAAGTGGTTTAAGTTTGCCGAGAAAATCGGAGTGTGGCACAATAATTGCCACGTTGTGGTGAAGGCTCAGGTCTGGGTATGATGAAACCACGTGCTTGAGAGCCGCAATGGTGTAGTGGCAATAGTCATTGAACAGTGGTGCTGCCTCTTTCTTTGGTCGTTCAAAAATAAAAGTTTTCAACGGTGGTCCTTTGGAACCAATAGACGTCACCTCAGTTTTCTCACTCTGCTCATGTTCAAAACTCAATTGGAAGGACTTTGCGCCCAACGCAACTCGCTCGGTGCTGCGCACAGTCTCCGTGAGGTAGACTTCATCATAGTGACCAAGCTCGTGGAAATTCTGCTCCAATGCCGAAGACTGAGATAAATCGGAAAGTAGGATAGATTGCTTGGATCTCTGCAATGTCTCTTTCAGGTGCTTCTGAACAACACGTGGGCAAAAAATATCATGAGCCTCATCCACCACTGCAAGGATGAGCTCCCTTTCGGCTGTGTTTTTCTCCTCTTGAAATGTGATTCTTCGTTTGTTGTCAACGATTCTCACCGTCATGAAGCATTTGAAGGGATTGTTGTACATGACCTTCAGGCGAGCACACACAAGCTCTTCTGCACGGCCTCCAGTATCCATCATCAATAGCAATCGCACAAAATGGAGGCAAAGCGTCTTGCAGGGGGCTACAAACAAAACTTGTCCTTCAGGATGCCCAAGCAAAGTGTTGACAACCTTCTGCGCTGCCACAAAGGTTTTACCGGAACCTGCGGCCGCTTTCAAATGGATTCTGTTAGACTCATCAAGCTTGGAGAGTCGATCTTGTTGATGCGGGGTGAGTCTCGTAGAGCTCATGAGCATGCTTTTGTAAGCTTTCACAAACTCCGTCTTGTTGACCTGTAGCTGCCAATAGTCAATCTCATCATTTAAGCCAGCCGTTTCCGTCTGATTCTTGAAGGTTTCTTTGTTGATCGAGACCTCAAAATTGCCAGACAGAACATCGCTGCATAGTTTTTGGAGGGATCCGACATCTTGGCTTCGGATGTCAAAGGTCATGGCAGGGGTGCCATCCTGGAGCCACTCCTTCCTGGGGCAGGTGCTGATGACTGTCTGACCTTCTTGGAGGCAAACGTTCAAAGCCCCGATGAAATCCTGCCGTATCAACTTCTCCTCGAGCTCGTCCATTTCACCATTGTCAGGCCGGATTCGGCTGGTTTCAAAACAGTCCTCAGATTCCTGACATTGCACTGCCCACTTGAAACTGACATCTTCCTTGTCCTGTGGCTCGAGCTCTCTTTTGCTCGCGATTACTCCCCTGGTCCACTGACGCTTGCCCTCGTTCCAAGCCAGGACCTTCTCGCCAATTTGCAAGGATCGATGAATGAATTCCATAAAATCCATCTCTTCATAGGGCCAATTCATGGCATCCATGGTCGCGACTTCCATCTTCTGGGATCCTCCAAGACCTCGGTTTGAGGAGTCTGAGTCCCACAGAGACACGTCAGGGTTCGACAAGTCTTCCATTGTGACCTTGCCCATGCCAAGCATCCCGGGATAGTAGACCACTACGGGTGTTTGTCCTGCTTTCACTCCTTTCTCCGTGTTCTTGTACCAAACCTTGGCTGCGCTTCAATCCCTGACTTTCATGTCAAGATCTACTGAAGGAGAACAGCAAAGCTTTGCAGAAGAGAAACGTCATACCAAAAACAACCCCAAGCTGGACGTTCACCATGCTCTGACCATGCTCTTTTGGCATCTTCAACCGCCTTACGGTATTCCTCTGGACTGGCATCTTTGCGGACAAGAATGGCATTCATGGCCTTCGCCGTTTCTTCAGCATTCTTCATGTGCTTCTCATCATCGTATGGCGGTCCCACTTCGAAGAGGTACCCAAACCTCGGGACTGCAAAGATTGTGCCTATGGCCTATGGTCAAACATGTTTGGGGCAAAATATTATAAAGAAAAGGAACAAACATTCACTTAAAAGCAAATCCAGGACACGTGTGAAAATTTCTGTTCGTAGGGTTTCCCTTTCCGCAGATCCGCCAACAGTAACAGGGCGCAGCGGGGTTCAGTGGGTCGGGAACGTGCACACCCAAACCATCTTTTCGTTTGCAACAATACACACAGGCCGCGCTCTGGTCACTGTACTCACCGTCATCCCTGACGAGTATCTGCCAACCACCTTTGAATTTGCCTGGGTAGGACACGAAACACTTCTTTGCTCCAGCTTTGAAGCGGCCGAGGAATGTTGTCTCTTCCATGTTGCGCAGCACGGAAGGCCGCTCTTTCACTGTGAAGCGAAGTGGTAAAACCGCCCCCAAGTGGAATGACAAGATCTGGGTGGCCTCATCCAGCTTCTGATTGTCCAAAGACTGGTAAGCACTTGCAATCTCTGGGTGGTCTGCACCATGCTGCGCTGTACTCTCCTCGAATATCTGCAAGGCCTCCTCGAATCTCTGCGTTGCCGCAACGCCCGAGTCGAGTAAAGATCTTGGCCGATCAATTTCTTGATTCTGGCCCCTTTCTTCGCGCTCCTCCATCAGCACCTTCTGCTTGTCCTACGTGCGTGCCAAAGTTGATTCATCTTCCTTCTACCCAGGTGCCGAAGGCGGCTTTCATTCTTGAGACGAATTCAAAACTTGAAGGCCGAGATCCCAAATGATAACCATGTTGCAAGTATTCAACACTTGATGATAAAACTTTGCGTTTTTGAACACTTAGGAAGTAGCTGCGCGCAAGTCGAACAAACTTGTGGAGAGCCTTTTGTGTTTCACATACGTGGTGGCTCTGTCTATTTTGGCCGCCGAAAGACAAGCCAGAAGTGTTCAGCCGAACAAAAACTCACTCAGAAACGACATGCTGGGCTCAAAACGAACCTTTCACATAGTGACTTAGCGTTGTCGTCACACACCAAGCGAGGGATTGGCAAAACACACAAAGAGGAGAACCAAGGTGGAAGCTCTTGCCAAGATAATCTCGCACACATTGATATCTAACCAACTCAGAAATGAGGTATCGTGACATCTGTAGACGTCGTTGTTCAATCCTGGTGAGCTTCTTGGAGCTTGGTTTGTCCCCAAATCGAAGCAAACACAGAAGAATGACTTGCAAACTCGGTAGTGCCAATGCTGCACCTTCTCTTGCCCAACTTGCCCCGCCTCTCTATGAGTCAATTCCTGTGTTTCTCTCTTCGATGCTTCAAGCTTCTCTTGTAGTGAACGAACCTGGTCAGCCAAAAAAGAAAGGCATCTATTTCTGCATTGGCAACATCAGATTTCATCTGTTTCTCCTTCTGCAAGTGCTCTTTCTTCGCTTCTTCAAGTTGTCTGTTAGACGCCTGAGATCAGCACTGCACACCAAGGCACACAAGCTGAAAGCCGTGAATCGTGAGTCAGTCATGTGCGAATGCTGGGAACCACGGCCATATGGAGCCACTCAGCTTCGTCATTGCAAAATCTGCTGTTCTTCTCCTTGTAGGTGGTTTATGAAGTTACTTTGTAGGCCAACTACCAGTTTTGGGACACGCCACCACTGGATGTTGAGTGCGAACAAACACCTCCATCACAGGAAGCTGTGCCAGCCTAAATCGTGCTGCCAAAGCCCCTGCCTCAAGGGCTTCCTGTAGCTCTGCCAATTTCGTCGCAAACTCTTCACGCAAAGCCTCCTGCAAAAGAAGGAGTTGTAATGCAAAGAAAGGGGTTGACAGGTGCTTGTAACATGACAATACTTAGACATAAGCTGTAATTTGTATTGTGTGGGACATCAACAACTAGTGTGATACGATTGCCATTATGGCAACAGTATGAAGCAGGATGCACTTCTTAAGACAAAAGTGCTGGGTATCCAAGCTCAATTTGAGCTGCGTGAGAATCAGTGTAGGATGGCTGAAATAACTGAAATAATTACTACACGGACGACCGCGACATCTTACAAGACCATGAGTCTCCAAGCCTCCAAACTCTGCTTGATGCCCTCACTTGCTTCAACTCCCCTTTCCTTCGGCAACTGGCTGCGAGCGTGCAAAGCGACTTCGTCAAGCATACCCGCAAAAACACCTGAAACCCGTAAGCCCATTTGCCCTGGGGAAATCGGTGCAAATGCCAAAGGGCAACACACTGCGAAGGTGAACCAACTAAGTTGGCCGCGGTGGGTCATGTTTATAAACAAGTAAACCACACGATATGATATAGTGGTCAATTTTGTATAACTTTGTCACATTCACTGCAAGGTTGTTTGGGGGTCAGAATTTGACCCAGTCTTCTTGGTATGCTTTTCTTGGCCACTTCCCCCAAGCCTCCCCGCCTCACAAGAACCATCACTGCTCTCGCTGGTGGAACAGGTTACCTCCAGCATGTTCAATGTTGGTGAATCCGTGCATTTTGACTCAATTAAGGGAGCCTCTTCAAAAGCCAACTAAACAGACTCGGGTTTCGTTCGCTTGCAATTCCCCCTCGGCTTAGGCACCCACCCAGAACAAATCATAATGAATCGCAAATAGCGTTGCCAGTTGGCTGGCATTACATACAGTCAGCTTATCATGAACATCTTCTTGAACTGCTACTAGGTTGAAAGAACGTCCTAGCGCCGCTACCACAGAAACTTTGACAGTCAATGGACATATACGGCATCCAGTCTCATCAAACAGGCCATCAGTCTGATACATCCCAGCCAAAGTTACGGGAGTCGTGCTGATGCAAAACCGTTTAGCCTAGATTCCCGGACCTTCTCGTCATCGTTCAAAAGCTTTTCGACCAGGTCGGAATACTTGTAGCCCTTACCTTGGCAACGAATGAAATCACTAACTGCGTGCCTTACAAAAAAACTAAGGCCACAGGGTAACATCCATGAACCCAGGATATACACGTGTGTCTCCACTGATCCAAGCGTTCAGTCACTACTCCCGTGTTAGCTTTGAGTGAGGGGTCAGCGGCATTTTTCAGTTCCACACAAAATCCGGGCGCCGGCCCCGGTGCCCGTTCCCTTGCCGGAGGCCTTCGGTTGGTAACCGAAGGTTGTATACGCTCGCCGCCCCTGCCGCCGACCCTTTTGTTGGACCTCTGCCCGACCCCCGCCCTACCCCCCGCCCGACCCCCGGTCGAATCCGGTCGACAGATTTATATGTAATTTACAGTGCTTCGTGTGTGTGAGGTATAAAAAGCACTGTGTTTTACAGGGCTTTGGGCCCCTCCGCTGAGAATTTCATCTTGGCGATGTTAAAAAACGTCGGTTTTTCCATGGTTTTTGCTTTGTGGGAAGGAAAAAATCGGAAACAGTTGTATCGGAAGATTTTTTCAACATAAATTGCCTAACATATCCCCAACATAGGCCCAAGATAGCCAACATATCCCCAACATATGCCCAACACAGCCTCCAAGATGGCTCAACATAGGGCCAACATAGGCCAACATGGGGCCAACATACGCCAACATAGGCCCAACATAGGCCCAACCTAGGCCAACATAGGCCAACATAGGCCAACCTAGGCCCAACATAGGCTCAACTTGGGCTCAAGATGTGCCCAACATAGACCACATGGGCCCAACTTGGCCCAACCTAGGCCCCGGCTGTCAGGCGTAAGCCTCATAAATCCGCGTTGTCCCTAGCAAGCTAGCTTTGCTATACGGAGGCGCACCCCATGCCGCCGACCTCTTTTCTAGCATCATTCGTCAAAAAACGTCGAACACACCGGGAGAATGACCAAATGGCTTCAAAACTTCAAAGCCTCTAGAAATTACACCAGCATCGATGCTAAATTTCATAATCAAAGCGCTATAAGGAAAATGAAAAACATAAAAGACTTATAAGGTTTTGGGATGGGTTGGCTCTACCAAGAGATGCTTGTTCAGGATGTTGGTGGGTTCACAGGGTTTTGTTTGTTTCATGTCAGCCCGTGTTTGTCAAGCAGCTGTGGCAAACAGCCTTGCACACCTTTTCAACTCGTGTGGCTGCTGTATTGCTTTGTCGCGCGAGTCACAGACACATTCCCTCAGTATCTGTCGCTAGCATCAGCGCCTCTCCAGAAACATAAACAAAATCTTGTTGATAGAAGAGAACAGTTGAACAAACATAACTAACCTCACTTACAGTGGAGGCAACATAATCAAACAAAAGTGGAGATCGCCGACTATTCAGTTCAGGATTTGTTCAAGTGGCTAAAGAACGGCTGAGTTGGTTCAACTGTGCCAGACCCAACTCTAATAATCCTAAAGCTACTCATCTGTTCAGAAAAGAAGCCCTTGGAAAAGGCTCGCTACGAAAGCAAAGTTCCTAGGAAGACTTAGCCCTTTTCTGTCCGTGCAAAAGATCACGGACAGATGATGGCCGAGCAGAAAGAAAATCATCAATCACCTGATTTCCAGTGCGCTTCCCTCCAGAACCTTGGAGGCAAAAAAATAATGAACATTCAAAACCAGCTGAGAAATCGAACGCCTGCCTGAACAAACAAATATGATACAAAATCATACAACATCAATGATGATGTTGACAATCAAGTTGCCTTTGTTGACTCCAGCTTTTGCCTTTGGCTTGGCTGAGGCTTTCTTGGCTGCGGCTTTCTTGGCTGCTGCAAGAACAGAGGCTTTTGTCTTGGCGGTGGAGGCCTTTGCTTTTGCATGGGCAGCAAATGACTTCTTCTTTGGAGAGGCTTTGGTTTTGGGCTGCCGGGATCGTGCTTTGGGTTTTGCTGCTGGCTTTGCCTTGGGCGGCTGAGGCTGCTTTGCCTTTGGCTTAGTCAGAGACGCTGCAGCCGCAGCAGCAAGGGACTGTGGGTTCCTCGTATCAGAGACTGCATCTTGTGGGTCTGTGTCGGTGTCTTCTTGCATGGAAGCTTCTGACTCTGACCCGGAATCAATTTGCTCATCTTCTGAAGAGTGAGCCTGCTCGGCATCTTGTGGCACAGTCTCAGCCGGTGTTAGCTTCTGGTGTGTGCTTTGGCCTTGCTCGCCAGGTTCATTGGTTTGTGGTGCCAGTCCTTTGGCATCTGGTGAGCCTGTCGAGCCATGTGTAACTTCTGCTTCTGCCTGCTCTATTGTTTCTGCGGCTGCAGCCGGGTCTGTGTGCGAAGCTTCTGGTACTGGTACAGCTGCTGCTGCTGCTGCTGCTGCTGCTGCTGCAGGTCCAGTGGTTTTTGGCAATGGTTCTGGCTCAGACGCTGGCGATACTGGAATTGCATACCCAACATCAATCATGTTCGCAAGCCTGATACTGAACTCTTCATCTGTTTCTTCTAGCTTTGCTTTTGCTTCTGATGAGGCCATAGCCATAGCTGCTGGAGCTGCTGCTTCCTTAGCCTGTGCTGTTGCTCCCTCGGCTGCAGACATCATCCCAGGATCAGCTGCTGGATCTTCTGGCGCAGCTGGCATGACTGGGACTGAAGCACTCTCTTGATGCCCCTGAGGCGGTTGCGCTGCTGGTGTTTCCTGCGCTGGATCTGGACCTACTGGCAGTGCAGCTGCTGTCGGTGTGTCTGCTGGCGAACCGTCTTCAATGGCAAGGAGCCCTTTCCCATCTATCTGACTCTGCTTCCGCTGCTTCTTGTTTTTCTTGTCCTGCTTCTTGCCCTCCTTGTGTTTCTTGTCTTTCTTGTGTTTGTTTCCTTTCACTTTCTCCTTCTTGGCCTTCTTGCGCTTTCTGTGTGCATCCTCCGAGTCATCCTGATCCTCTGCAGACCCTGCGTCATCATCAGCTTCATCTTCTTCTTCCTCACTCTCACCCACATCGTCAGATTCTGCACCAAGTACACGTGTGACATGCATGCCAGACTTTACAATTGCGGCGTCCTCCACATCTGCTGTGGTTGCCGTTGTCAGTAGTGCCAGTGCCTGCTCCATATTGCACTGCTCAATGTCCGGCAGCTGCAGCTGTGCTTCCTGCAGCTCCTTCTTGCTTTTCGACATCATGGAAGTCGGATGGCTGGAAGATTGAGACAAACGAAGTTGGAGTTCCTTCAGCTTTTCCTGGTCCTGGTCCTGGCCCACTTCATTCTCCTGGGTCACTTCATCACCCTTCCCTTCCGAAGTCAGGAAGACCAACTCACCTTTAGATCTCTCCTCCAATTCGTCTTTCAGTGGAGACAGCACATCAATGAAAGCTCTTGAAGTATCCCACCTTGGCATGCTCAAGAAATAGGAAGGAGGATGAGAATGAGCTCATGAAAAGGAACATTGTCATGTCAAAAGAGCAAAGCCTATAATTGACTCTCGATATAGTTGCCGTCAAGTGGCGCTTGGTTGAATCCACTGCAAAGCTGGAGCTTGTCCAAGCTGTTGTCCTCTGCAACAACCACAGTTGCACGCAACCCAACGGATGATTTGCCAACCCCGCCAGAATCTTCCATGGCTTTTTCTACTACCAAGCTCCCAGCAGGGTAGTAGATGATGTCTCCAGGCGTCAAGTAGTACGAACGAAGGGTGCTAGTATGGATTTCATCTGTGTACAAACTTTGCAGAAAATTTGCTGTCAAGACGTTCTCAAGAAAGTTGACCAACTCTGCAAGGCTTGGGTTGTCTGTCGACGGCGGTGCATTAGGTGCATTCTGCGCATCCAGCCAGTACAACCTGACAAATGATTAAAAAAACACCAACAACTTACAGTAGCAGTGGCGTTGGCGTTGGCAACATCATTTTTTGAGGCCAAGTATGGCTGAAGTTTGCATCTAGTTGCCAAGCTGAAAACTGATCATTAGTAAAGAGACAGCAACAGCAAAAGAACAGCCAGCCAGCCAGCAGCTAAAGTCAGCCAAAGTACTCATAAAGACCTTTCAGCTCGTAAACGTCAATGGTCACGCCAACCTTGCAGCCCTCGATCTGGTAGTGCATTGCTGGGCAACCTCCTAGTGAGGGAAAACCACCTAATGTCTAATAGCAGTGGGTCCGTGGGTCAAAAAAAGATTTGGGACATGTGGTCATGTGGTATGTTGCAAGTTGTCGTCACAGTCCTTGCACAAATTGGGTGAAGCTCTCTCCACGCAAGATTGACTGGAACATAAGCCCGTTCAGCTTTGTCAGGTTCTTGTCCAGGAGAGCCTTGTTCTCAACGTCCGATATGTTAGCAGGAAGGTTGCCCATCCTGACCAAATGCTCCAACATGCTCCAACAAGTTGTCCAATGTTATTTTTGTGGCTGGCGGCTGGAGGCTGGAGGGGGGGGGCCCTCGTGCTAATCACTGTGGTTGGGTCAGGGTCATTGGTTTAAGCAAAAAATGTCAAACAAAGCGCATCAATTGAATGTCCGAGAATCACTGCCAAACCAAGCTCGCCACGATCCAGAATGACGGGCAATGAACTACACTGCGGGTCAGCTTGCTCCAAAACACGCCGCAGCATCAGATCCATAGCCAACAAATCACCTGGGCCTTCTACTGTCTTGGTGAGTCTGCTTTTCCTTCCATGTGCCTGCGCGCTCGCTTTCTCGACATCATCCTTGAAGTCAGCGATTTGTCCTGCAATGTGTTTGCAGTGGGAGCTGAGGGTGCCTTGAGGCACAGCTTGGGAAGCCTTCAGAATCTTTTTCATAGGCCCCTTCTTCAATCTCGCCATAGTGGGAACCTTGCCCTGGTCTGCAAGCAGACGTTGGGCAAACACATCAACTTCAGCTGTGATCTCGATGGACAGGGCAGCAGGAAACTTCTCTCGGAGAATTGGAACATCAGCTTCCTGAAGCTTGCCAGCACCTGGCCCTCTACCTCGCCTTCTTCCCTTGCCCTCCGGCCCCGGCTCCTCAGGGATTTGCTCTGCGTTCTCCCTTGCGAGCTTCTCCTTGGCCAATTGTTTCTGTTCCTC